TTTGCTATTACAAAAATAATTAGTATAATAATATATATATCTCTGTTTTCTTAAAAATTTTTTCTTTTTCTTTCACTTCTCTACGAGAAGATATCATCAGATTGGTAATATCCTATTGTAGGGCGGTGGTTGGACGAGCCCTCCAGTTAGGATATATTTTATATATCTTGCTGGTGCGGCAAGTCGTTTATGGGAGCTCGAAGGCATAGTAGCCATAGGATGTCAGAACTTAAATTTTATTGTTTTAGCATTTTCCATGAGATGATGACTTTAATAAACAGTATCACTGGCGCGATCTTGCCTAAGAGAAAAAAAAAATAAAATAAAATAATTATTTTCTTTAAATAGAATTTGCCAAGACAATAGGAAATTTTAGATTATTAAAAATTTATATTATAAGTAGAATTATGTTTAAAATTTTCTTATAACTTGGTAGCTAAACCATTAAATATATAAATTTTTAAAAAATTCGAATATATTTGAATTTATTCAAATATATTCAAATAAATTTGAATATATTTAAATAAATTTAAATAAATTCGAATAATTTCAATTTTATTTAAAAATATAATTTTAAATATTTACTAACTTTTAAAATTTTAGCTTTTAGAAAAATTTAGATTATTGCAGAGTACGTTGATTACTAAGATCAAGACTTCAATGTTTTCTGTATTTAAGAATCTTTTAGATTCTATTAACAACAAAGCAACTCATGAGAAGATAATTAAATGGAAATGTTCAGATAAAACTGTATTCTGTTTTAAATGACTTTTTGCTAAAGTTTCTAATAATTCTAAAAAAACTTATATATTGCTAATTTTAAATAAAATTTGGCCTTCTGGAGAAACTAATACTGAAATTGTTGCATATGCAATCACTGTTTGCCAAACAATTTTAGATCTGAAGCAAGAAACTTTAACTATTTTAGAGAATATTATTAAAAATAAACTAGCAAAAAATTTGTAAGTTTTGTTTTAAGAAATTTATTTAATGATTATATATAAATTTAGAATAATTAGATTATAATTAATAAAATGATTTAATATATTAATTTATGGATTTTATTTTTGGTGCATCTGCATCATGGTGTACTGCCTTATATCATGTGATAGATTTATTTATATACACGACGCATATGCAATATTGTATATATACTAATAGTAAAAATTAATAATAATTAATATAAGAAACTTTATTACAATTGCACAGCATGATACAATGATTATGTTATGTTAACTATTTAATATTACATGATTGCAACAGCTACCCTAATCCATCTTAAATCGAAGCTACCCTAACCTATCCTAAATCGAAGCTACTTTAACCTATACTAAATCGAAGCTACCCTAACCCATCCTAAATCGAAGCTACACTAACCTATCCTAATTCTACTAAACTAATCTAACCAACCCTAACAGCTAAGTCCTAAATATCACAACCATACCAATGAAAATACTTGCCAAAGTGATAGTACTAATGATAGATCACACTTGTATGATGTTGACACCAACGACAAAGATGTTTTTATAATAACAATTGAATGCCAATAGCACGGTGAAAAACTAAAAGTGGAAACAAAGATCATATAATCGAACTGACTGATTTATTGTTACCTTCAAAGAAAAAAAAGTAGTTAGTAAAGTACACCCACAGTTCAAAACAACCAAATCAAATAATACTTTCTGAAATACGCCTAATAGTTCACGCTTTCGATCAGTACTTGGAAAAAAAAAAAAGCATTAGTCAAATTCAACTCAAAACAAAACAGAAAACAAACAGAATTACTATATACTTCCCAAAAAACTTCAAACTCATAAGCACTCTAACAAACCGAGAAATAAAGACTATACTTACCGTATTTTCACGTAATAACGCTCATAGGCGTTAATTAGAAAATTACGCCCCTTAAAATTATATACATGGTTTCAAAATAACGCCCATGCGTGTCCCTAAATAACGCGCACCCCCTACATAAAATTATTACTTGCTCTCTCACTATAAAAATTACCATTCTTTCTAGAG